TTAAAACTATTCAGTGTTCCTGTTGGAATTACAGCTTTTTTTTTTGTTTTCCCTAGTGAAAATCTTCATGGTAGCAGAGAAAAAAAGAAGCAATGGTGTTAAAGTTGATGGTTCAACAACCTTTCTAAATTTCTCCAAATTTCTATCACTCCCAGTCCTATCCAACAGATTATGTACTACCTGAGAGCACTATGCAAGTAGTCAAATGCAAATAGCCCATTAGGTTGGCCTAATTCTAGTCATATTAAAGTGACCTTTCAATTGGGTCAATTAAATGAAGGGAGAACACTTCATTAAAACAGGCTACAGCATCTTACTACTTTAAGCAACTGGGACTCTTTTTCAGGACCAAGTGAATTATTGAGCGGAAATAGAGAGGAGTATTTGCAAGCATTATGGCTATGAGATTAGGGGATCCTAGGGAAAATGTACAAAAAAACCCAGCTTCCTATGCTAGCAGAAGCCTACTGCTAATTCCTCCAGCTTTTTTCTAATACCTGAAAGGAGGAAATCTTCAGAATTCTATAACTCTCCCAGACTTCCAACAGGAACCCTGGTTTTTTATTCTGTCCATGGCCAATCTGTCTGCCTCCCACATTCTTACCTTTCTCTTCCCTGAATTCTCCCTTCGTGATGCCAATTTTAAACCCTTTGGGTTAGCCGGTTTTTCCCATTTTTTCATGTCTGCACAAGAAAGCCTGCCTCCTTCCTTGTCTGTCCCCTACCAAACCCTATTTTCCTTCTTCCTCTGTGTCTGGAATTATAGTTCTCTTGTGAAGAAAACACTCCTCTCTTTTCTGGAACACTGAATTTGCTTCCTTGCCTTGACTGAAATGAAACACAGTTTCTTTTTTCTTTGCCTCTTTTGCAGCTCTTCCAAGTGTTTTATTTTCACTCAGCAACTTTCTTTCCTTGAAAACCACATCAAGTTACACCAGCTCTCTGGATCACAAGAAGGCAGTATGTCATAGCATGGCATTCAAGTTCCTCCACAAATTGGATACAGCCTCCAATTTCAGGCCCAATCTTTCACTTGTCTTTACCATACTTCCTACAATACTCCAGATGCCCTGGATGATGTACCCACTAAGCAGCAAACACAGCAGGTACCCTTGTACCCTGTGCTTTTGCTTCCACTGTCCATTCTTCTTGGTATGCCCTCCCTTTACCCTTTATTTGTATAGAAAAGGTCTATGTGTATTTCTTCCCTCCCTTAGTAGTATAGTGATAGCCCTTTATGTAAAGGATGCATGTTTATTTGCCTTTGTATTGCAAACCTAGACAAGTGCCTAGCACATAAGAGCTATCTAATAAATCTCTATTCTAATAAATACCAGCTTAGCCTTGAGGTAAGTGAAGTTCTAAATTCTCTTGTAGAAACTTCTTATTTGAGGATCTCAGCTTATGGGCTACGTTAGCCAATTTTGAGTTATGTTAAAAGCCTGGACTGGACTGGAATTGTGGAATGGCAGCCAGATCTCTTCTCTCATAACATTAGCTATACACTGAAATGTGGAGGGGCAAGTCAGGATTACACAGATACAACCTGCATTAGGCTGACAGCAGACTGAAGGCTTGCCACCACAGAACTATAGTTCAGGCTCTCTTCCCCACCTTGTCTTGGATCCATTAGAAGATCTTCCTCACAGTTCTTCAACATTGTTGAGATAATATATACTGACCTCTTGGTATGTACCAGGCCCTCTGCTAGGTGATAGAGATGCAAATACAACCAAACAGAAAATCCCCATCTTTCTAGAATGCAGAGTCAAGCAAGGAAGACTGTATTAGTCTGTTCTCATGCTGCTAGAAAGAACTGCCTGAGGCTGAGTAGTTTATAAAGGATAGAGGTTTAATTGACTCACAGTTCTGCATGGCTTGGAGGCCTCAGGAAACTTACAATCAGGGTAGAAGGCACCTCTTCACAGGGCTGCAGGAGACAGAATGAGTATGGAGTAAAGGGGGAAGACCCCTATAAAACCATCAGATCTCGTGAGAATTCAGTATCACGGGAACAGCATGAGCAGCATGAGGGTAACCACCTCGTGATTAAATCACCTCCCCCAGGTCCTTCCCATGACACGTGGGGATTGTGGGAACTACAACTCAAGATAAGATTTGGGCGAGGACACAGCCAAACCATATTAAAGACAGACAAGTAAACAGACACTTAATGATTTGTTCATTCAGCAGATATTTAACTATATCCTAAGCAAGTGCTCCAGTAACAATGCAAAAGAGCTGCCATGGGAGCAATGGGCAATAAGTACCCAATTTTCCCTACAACTACATAGGAATTTACTAAAAGGACAAGGAAATCTTGGCCATGGAAGGGAAATAATCACTACTATTTACGCAAAGTTAGAGAAAAGTGACAGAACAAATAGGGTTCTGGGAACTGCAAGTAGTTAAAAATGCTGGTAAATAAAGTGTTACAGGAATGAAGGAAAATGAAGCTAGAGATATTCACAGGCAATATCAAGAAGTTTGCATTTCATATACATGGTAGATACCCACTGAAGGATGTTAACTGGAAGAGGAGTCAAATCATGTTTGCAGTTTAGAAGATATGTTAGAGGGGAGTGAAATGGGAAATAGATCAGTAAGAGCCTGTTGTAAAAGTCTCAATAAGACATCATGAGGGCTTTAAACTAAGGTAATGACAATCTAAAGGAATTGGAGGAGCCAGACTTAAATGAAATTTCATAGGCAAATCTGAAGAATTTGGTGTGACAGAAGCATGTTGGAGAAGAGAGACAGAAAATCTGTTCAGGTGTTGAGGCCATTCATTTGAATTGGGAATCTAAGATGGGGAGCAAGACATGGAGGGAGATAAGAAATATGCTAAAGCTAATGTGTCTAAACAAAGAAACACTACAAAAACAAAATTTATGAATTAAGACATAACTGTACCACAAGGTATGCAGGTAAAAAGATGTGTACATCTTTAAAAAATTTTTTAATTTTTTTACATTTTTTCACCCCATGAGATCTAGACTAAGATGTATATACATCATTATCTATCTATATATAGACAGATAGAGAAATAAATAGATGGGTTTTTTGGGTTTTTTTCTTTCTTTTATGAATTGGGATTGGAATCACAATCATGAAATAGAACTCCTCCTTCACGTTTCTAGCTCATAGAAGTAAAACCTGTGTTCAACCTGAGAAAGCTGATTAGAAAAAGAAATAAAACTTGTGGTTTTAGAGAAGTAATTTGGAAATTAACTTTAAAATGCATTTCTTTGAAGAGACCTATGATTAATCTTAAATGGAGCATTTCAGTATTTCCTGATTGATTTATGAAGATAAGTAATAATTCCCATGGCTAAAATGTAAAAACACATGGAAAACCACAGAAGCCTATTTCAGAGTGTTGAACTTCCGAGTTCCATATTTTAAGAGGGATATACCAGGAGAGTTATTAGAGTATGCTCAGGGAAGGGCAACCAAGATGGCAGAGAATGTAAAACCCATTATATGGGAAACTTGAACTGTTTGGCCTGATAATGAGAAGACTTAAAGGAGTTATGATAATTGTTTCCAAATGTTTCAAGAGCCGTCATGTATTAAGATCAAACTCTGTGGCTCCAGAAGGCAGAACGTGGTCCAACGGTACAAAGGCAAAGAGTCAGATCTTGGGGTCTATAAAAAATAATAAGGTTCCAGCAGCTAGAGCAGTCAAATAATTCTGTCATCACCTCAGATATAATTATTGTAGATACCCATCACCAGAGATGTTTAAGGAGGAATGAGATAGCCACCAGGTTAGAGTACTTGTAGAAAGAACGCTCGTATCAGGTAAAATATATTACAATTCTGAAATTCTACATTCCAGAATTTTATGAAATATAGAATATAATTCCAGTCAACCTTAGGACTGGATGTGGCCAAAATCTTCTACATGGCATAGTCCTAGTTATAGGGGAATACAACTAATTGTTTAAGCTTAGCATTATCCATACTGACTTATATTCAGCCTTTGTCTAGCCCTGTCCTTGGTGTATAATTCCTGCTACTGGAACTGTTTGTGCATTGTACTTAAGTTTATCAGTCAAGATTAGGTATTATGAATTCCTCTTGGCTTTAACCCCTACTCTTATCAAAGAAACAAGTTTAGAAGGTGACGTTTAACTTCCACAGGACTTTAGGCATAAAATGTGATTAAGATTTTATTTTGGCCAGGTATGGTGACTCACACCTGTAATCCCAGCACTTTGGGAGGCTGAGACGGGTGGATCACCTGAGGTCAGGAGTTCAAGACCAGCCTGACCAATACGGTGAAACCCTGCCTCTACTAAAATTACAAAAAAAATTTAGCCAGGTGTGGTGGTCTGTGCCTGTAGTCCCAAGTACTCAGGAGGCTAAGGCAGAAGAATCACCTGAACCCGGAAGGTGGAGGTTGCAGTGAGCCGAGATCACACTATTGCACTACCTGGGTGACAGAATGTGACTCTGTGTCAAAAAAAAAAAGATTTTATTTTTACTTCCTTCTCTTTCTGTGACATAAGGCCCCTTTGTTATCAAGAATACAGGTACAGGTGTGTTTCCCCACTCCCCTGCCCTTTAACTTTGTAACTGATTTTCCATATACTTTTAAGGCCATTTTCTCATGTCTATATATTTTTTTCCCAATTGAAAGAGTACATTAAGGAGGAGGCAAGTATTGGTTGGAAGTCAGAGTAGGGGAAATCTCTTCCAAAGCAGAGTAAGTACAGTAAGCTACAGATAGATGTTAATAATATACTGTGGTGGCGGTAGAGTAAGGTGTTCAAGTGGACTATAACCTCTTTGAGTACAGGAAACTATCCTGTATTTCTCTGAATTCCCCATAGCATAGTAATTGTTTATAGGATTATAGGATTATTGTTCCTACTGAGGTAATTTTACAGTTAAAATTTTAATTTTTATCTTTAGGGCTAAAAACATTGCCCTCACAGAGTGAAATGATGGCAGAAATATCTAAAGCTCAAGAGGAAATTGAAAAAAGGTAAGAAAATGTCCCAGGAAGATATATGGTTACTATTTCTACTTATTTTTTAATAAGAGAAATATTGTAATTTATTTAACTTCTTCATTTTAGCTTAAGGTGTTAGATTCTATCTTGAAGAAAAACTGAAAAATAGTTTGTGATGATAGAATGGCGAAATAGCACTAGTAGTCTGAATATGGATGAGAAGGGAGAGAAAAGTTTTAGGTGTTTAAAATCCTGTGCTTAATGCCTTAAAAAAAAAGTCACGGCCGGGCGTGGTGGCTCAAGCCTGTAATCCCAGCACTTTGGGAGGCCGAGGCCGGTGGATCACGAGGTCAAGAGATCGAGACCATCCTGGTCATCATGGTGAAACCTCGTCTCTACTAAAACTACAAAAAATTAGCTGGGCATGGTGGCGCATGCCTGTAATCCCAGCTACTCAGGAGGCTGAGGCAGGAGAATTGCCTGAACCCAGGAGGCGGAGGTTGCGGTGAGCCGAGATTGCGCCATTGCACTGCAGCCTGGGTAACATGAGAGAAACTCCGTCTCAAAAAAAAAAAAAAAAAAAAAAAAAAGTCACATAGGAAAAGCATATGGAAAGACAATCAGGTGTATTATTTTTGTGAGGATTACCTGAAGTGCTAGTGGAGTTGCCAGAGGAAGGAAGTGATGGTGAATGAATGAGAGGCAGCTATGAATGAATCACAAATCTGTAGGTAGATTTACAAGTCTGCAGGGGCTGCTTTGCGGGCTACGTTCGTGCGACAGCACACTCAAGTCACAGTGGCTCATGGTATGCATAGTCCTTGTGACCTAGGAACATGGTAACAGCTAGCTGCTTAGTGTTTGGTGAACACAATCATTTAGCAGTCTGAATTTCAGAAGTTAAGCTCAACTGCTGGGTGTTTTTTATTTGGACAAAGTGGAAATTGATAGTAAGTATAAATTTCTGTGGAAAAGTGAGAGGCACAATTGTTCCAGGCCTAAAGAGGTGGCTATCTTCAGCTGATTATACTAGCATACCTCTCCCTTGTCTGGGAGGAGGAGAAGGTAAGGATTTCTGATTTTTTTATTTTTTTTTGAGACGGAGTTTCCCTCTTGCTACCCAGGCTGGAGTGCAATGGCGCGATCTCGGCTCACCGCAACCTCCGCCTCCCGGGTTCAGGCAATTCTCCTGCCTCAGCCTCCTGAGTCGCTGGGATTACAGGCACGCGCCACCATGCCCAGCTAATTTTTTGTATTTTTAGTAGAGACGGGGTTTCACCATGTTGACCAGGATGGTCTCGATCTCTTGACCTCGTGATCCACCCGCCTCGGCCTCCCACAGTGGAAGGTAAGTTTTTATTTAATTCCGTTATCAATTCCAGGTGCTCGCCTATTTTCCTCCTTCCTTTCACTGCCAAACTTCTCCGCTAAATTTTCTAAATTCTCACCTTTTGCTCCCTCCTAAGCCTTCTGCATTATTAACTTCCATCCTTACTCCTGAAACTGCTCTCTTCAAGGTCATCTGTGACCATCTTCATTTTCCTTCCTCTCACTACTGAGTTTGATGCTTTTAAACATTTCTTCCTTCTTGGAGTACTTCCTTTTTGGGCACTAAATGATCTTATTTTTATAACTTTCCTCATCGCTTTCCTTTGACTTATTTTTGTCTGATCACCTTCTGATCATGGATATAATATAACCTTTATTAAAGGCCAACTATGTGTGTACATTGTTTTATGGGTTTATTTAACCTGCATAATCAAGGCAGGAGCTAGTAAACCTCTTTTGTGAAACTTTCATTAATACTATAGTTTTTTGTTTTTCTTTTTGAGATGGGGTCTCAATCTGTTACCCAGGCTAAAGTAAAGTGGCACGATCTCGGCTCACTGCAGCCTCCACTTCCCGGGATCAAGCAATTCTCCTTCCTCAGCCTCCCGAGTGGCTGGGACTACAGGCACACACCAACAATGCCTGGCTAATTTTGGTGTTTTCTGTAGAGATGGGGTTTCGCCATGTTGCCCAGACTGATCTTGAACTCCTGAGCTCAAAGTGATCCACCTGCCTGGGCCTCCCAAAGCGCTAGGATTACAGGTGTCAGCCACCACATTCAACCTCATGCTATAGCTCGTGACCTACTATTACAAGATAAATAAATACATGCCTACAAACCCTTGAGCCAACATGATGTTCATAAGGGAAAGCTCTCAAATTCTTTACTGCTTTACTTTTTCTCTACTAAATCTAGTTCCCTTTCAATACATTCCTACTTGACCCTCTATCAGGTCCTCTGAAATTCCATCTCACCAGTTCTACCTCCAATTTATTTTCTATCCTTTTTTTCCTGTCCCTATTCTTGGATTCTTTAATTTCAATTAGCTTGACTTGGCTTTTCTCTTCCTCTCTGTCCTACGTTCCTTCTTTTCATTACAGAAAGTAAAAAGGGAAAGTCACTCATTAGCTCACCAAATCCCACTGCACCACACAGATATCACTGTTAACCAACCACATTTTCCCCCAATAAGTCCTTTTAAATCTTTAAATCTGCACTTGGTGTAATCATTTCGTTTGTCTGCATTTGTAGGGCTACTTCCTCTTGTGGAATAAGTCACCCTCCATCATCCTTTCAGGATTCCAAATTAACACTGGCTGTGGGAAGTCCTACCCTGTAGACCTGCCATCACTACCCGATGGAAATAATTGAGGATGCCATATTTGAGAATTTTTGTGGTGGATTTTCTCTCTCATAACATCAGAGTTCTTTGTATCTGGATGTGCTATATAACTTCCCTCATCTTATTTGTATCTTTCACACCCTTCAAGAACCAAACAATTACAGCCCTCTTTTAACTATCCCATCTCCACATTTCTATTTAGCAGTCTGAAACCACTCAGAAGTCTCTGCTTCATGTTGATCTGTCTTACCTCCTTTGTAGATCCGAAGATCCTGAAGGACAGTGACAAATGTTTTCTTTCTTCTCTATATTCCACAGCTCCTAGTCTGATATTGAGCCAATAGCAGGCACTCAGAAGACAGTCATTGATTGATTGACTGATTGAATTATTGACAGGCCCTGATTTCTGTCTTCTCTACTTTAGGTATGTGGAGAGCCAACGCCATACCATTCAGGTAGACTACATAGATGCCATGGAAGAGCTTGCTGATTTGGTGGGAGTCAGGCCCAATCTGCTGGCTCTGGCCTTCACTGACCCCAAGCTGGCATTACACTTATTACTGGGACCCTGCACTCCAATCCACTATCGTCTACAGGGCCCTGGAAAGTGGGATGGGGCTCGAAAAGCTATCCTAACCACAGAAGATCGAATCAGGAAGCCTCTGATGACAAGAGCAGTTGAAAAGAGTAGTTCTATGACTTCAACAATGACAATAGGCAAGTTTATGCTGGCTTTTGCCTTCTTTGCTATAATTATAGCTTATTTCTAATTGTCCTATTGTCACTGCCCCATTTTTCATTGGGAAGCTTGATCTAGAGATGCCTTCAGAATCTGACAAGACTGACTCCCAGTTTCACATTGCCCAGAAATCTACTTTTCTGTCTCTTTCAAAAGCATTAATTCACTTTCCTTTTTCCTACAATGAAACCTATTGTTCATTTGTATTAATTCATCTCCCGTCCACTCATGATCCATCAGTCTTTCTTCTGGTAATCCCTAGACTGTGAGCTCAGGTACTCTTAGTCGTCTTCATATGTCCTTAGCACAGTTCTTGACATTTGTTAGGTGCTTAATAAATGTTTGCTGTTTATCAAATGTTATGGTAGGGAGAGTAAGTCGGCATCTGTATAAAATTGCTTACCCCATGTAACTCTTCTTCTGACAGGATTTGATTTTCTTTTAGCCCACTTTTTTTTCATATTGTAACTCAATGTTTCCTGAGAGATAAGAGAAATAATGGTCTTATAATATGTAGTTGTATGCAAAGATAAGAAATATAGATCTTAAGACATTTTGTTTCACTTGCTCTTCACTAGTGTGCTTGATACATGGTCTTTATTTTCTGAATAAATAAATTACTTTCAACTTCCCAGGCTCATAGTCATTCATCATCTACCATCTGCCAATGAGATCAAGTTGGTTGAGAAATTTGGGATTTTAAATTAGCTGTCCTACCATTTTTAATCTCTTTGTTCCCATATGAGGATCCAACAAGACTTTATCTTAGGAAATATAATAAGTAGCTTCCAACTGTTGCAGTATGGTCTACAAATGTGATTTGATTCATCTTCCCCCACTCTAATTTTCTCCCCTTTCTCCTCCCTTACATGCAGTCTAAGTAATAAGTATTCGAACAAGTCATTTATGTATTAAATCAGAATTGACAACATTCTGCTTATACCAGTTTTTCTCATCTTATAAAGTGTAGTTCTGAAAAACAGAGCAAACAAAATGGAAAGCAGGGACTTGGGTTTACATCCCAGTGCTGCTGATCATTCTATTTTCTCATCTGTGGAAGTTTCGTTCTGTTCTTTTTACATGGAGAAATTAACTAAGTGTCAGCTGTCAGGCACACTGAACTCAGGTGATGTTCATAAAATAGCTGTTGTATGTTTGTATTTGTGTTGCTGCCTATTACTTAACAACAGGATAAATTTGAACAACTGAAAAGAAAAACGTTAGAGAAAAACATTAGAGTGTATTATCTTTCCTAATATAAACACATGTAAGAGAACCAGAAATGTGAGAACTACAACTTCTTCTTAATTATTTAAGCATTTCAACAATTGCCTGCCATTTCACCGAATTTACCTGTGGAATGCCTTTTGAGAATTAGAGAAATGAAAACTGATATTACTTCCCAGGTATTTTGCTTTCCCTAATCCTTGTGATACTGGAGATTTATCATCTATTAAAATGGACCTAGTATTTTTAAATCTGCAGATCAAAAGCAAATTGAATGTCTCTTGCTGTCTTTTAATTTCTTTCTTTTAACATATAAACTTGTCTTTTAGCATGTAAATTTGTTGAATTAACAGTACTTTGATAAAATAATTCCTAGTTATCAGCAATAACTATGCCAGTTTCTTTTTTAAATTATGAGCATATAATTCTAAATTAATTGATTCTCTCATTGTATATATTTATATAAGGTTACAAAAAAAATCATTGATTAATAATTTTTTAGTTCAACCAAGCTAAAAGATGTGAATAGGAAACTGAACTCAACTTAAGATACAAAGCTCTTGTTACTGATGAATGTCTAATAATATTCATCAATTTACCATATCTTGTAATTATATTAAAAGATTCTATCATTTTCCTAATTATTTTAAAGCTGATTACAAAAATATATATACTGTATTCTTATCCTTTGCAATTTGAAAGGAAAAATTACAGTATGATTTGGGGAAAATTCTGTACCTTTGAACTGGCTCTATCTTCCTTTAGGGGAGCATCGCTACTATTTCTCTGCCTATATAAAAACTATGAAAAGATTAAAATCAATGGTATTTGTTTTAAAAATAATTATTTTACTCAGTGGTTGAGTAGTCTCTTGTGTATAAACTTGTATCTTTTGCTAAAGCTGATTTTATTAATAATATTTTTTTTTAAACTTAGGAATAATTTTATTTATTTCTTTTTTTTTTTTTTTGAGACGGAGTTTCACTCTTGTTACCCAGGCTGGAGTGCAATGGTGCAATCTCGGCTCACCGCAACCTCCGCCTCCCGGGTTCAGGCAATTCTCCTGCCTCAGCCTCCTGAGTAGCTGGGATTACAGGCACGCGCCACCATGCCCAGCTAATTTTTTGTATTTTTAGTAGAGACAGGGTTTCACCATGATGACCAGGATGGTCTCGATCTCTTGACCTCGTGATCCACCCGCCTCGGCCTCCCAAAGTGCTGGGATTACAGGCTTGAGCCACCGCGCCCGGCCAGGAATAATTTTCATACAATAAAAACTAACTTTTTAATCAATCACTGTACTACAATCAAGATACAGATCTGTTCCATACCTCCCCTTCAAAATTTCTTCATTCTCCGTTGTAGTCAGTCACTCCCGACCCCTTATCTACAGTTTCTGGCAAACACTGATCTGTACTACCATATAGTCTTTCTTTTTCCAGAAAGTCATGTAAGTGGAGCCTGACTTCTTTTGCTTCCCATAATGCATTTGAGATTCATCAATATTATTGTATATATAAAGTTATTCCTTTTTATTACTGAGTAGTGTTCCATTGATAGCTATGCTACATTGTAATTATTGATTCATCAGGTGTATTAGTCTGTTTTCACACAGCTATAAAGACATATCTGAGACTAGGTAACTTATAAAGAAAAGAGGTTTAATTGACTTATAGTTCTGCATAGCTGGGGAGGCCTTCAGAAAGTCACAGTTATGGTCGAAGGGGAAGCAAGCACTTCTTACATGGCAGCAGAAAAGAGATAGTGAGAGTGTGTGAATGAAGGAGGAACTGCTGAACATTTTTAAAACCATCAGCTCTGGTGAGAATTCACACACTATCACAAGAACAGCATGGGGGAAACTGGCCCGTGATCAATCACTTCCCTCCCTTGACATGTGGGGGTTATAGGTCCCTCCTTCAACTCGGGGCATTACAATTTGAGATGAGATTTGGGTGGGGACACAGAGCCAGACCATATCCTCAGGTGATGGACATTAATGTTTTTTCCATTTTAGGGTTTCTGTTTTTTCTATTATATGAATAAAGACATATATGTGTTTACAGGTTTTTGTGTGAACTTGCTTGGATGTATACTGAGGAGTGGGAGTTACTATGCTGCATGATTAAGTGAATGTCAACTTTATAAAGTAGATCTGATTGTTTTTTGAAACAGTAGCCATCAAGATCAGATGTTATACCTATCCTTGGTAATAAATGGAGGATGAAACTTGA